GAAACCAAGGTTTCTTCGGAAACCAAAAAGTCTAGATAGGAAACCAAAACATGCGCGTTCTTTTTTGTATCTCCCAGCAGCTATAATCTCAAGTTCGTCCCGGATTTACTTGACGCGTTCTTTGCGTTTCGACAGCAACATAGTGATCATAGTGGTCAGAGGGGGTGGCGGGGTTTAGATAGTTTAGATCCCTTGTTTCTTTTTGTTTTCTAATTCGTACATTTGGTTTCTGAAGCGGGCGACGATCATCCCATTCTGGTTGCTTCAATTCCATGATGTTTGCTTAAATCCCCAACTTTAACTGTACAAATCCCCCAATTTAGCTGGAAAAACATGGAAAAGACCCTACTTTAGCTGTAGAGATGCCTATACTCTACTCGTATAAGTCACAATTTCAGCTGCAGAAATCCCCGTTTTCACCGGTCAAATCCACCTGGAACCACTCCGTGCATGGAGCCGGCTCCGCCGCCGCGTTCGCGTTGCGAACCAGGCCATAGATCAGCGGCAACGACCTGCCGCGCGTTTTGGGTTTGGGATGGGTCCCCTATAGCCATAACAAGGAGTTATGAAAATGATTAAATAATGGTATATATATTCATGGTTTAACAATGGTCAATGATGGTTAATAATGGGATTATCATTTGATGATATAATGGTTAATACTGGTTAATCATTGACAATAATGGATAATATATTGGGATTCTTACTGGGGTATTACATGGAATATCCGCAACGGTGTCCTTAAACATGGCTAGAACTCCCCGAACTATTGATGGATGTTTCTAGCTGGAAAAATTGGAAAAATCATCCACAAATGAGAGATGTTCCAGCACGCCATGTTTGATTACAGGAGGGTAGATTATCATGGTTGGTTGTTCATCAATAGGATTGTCCATTGGTTTTCCGAGGATCCTATGATTTCCTCTGGACATAGGGATAAAATGCCTCTAAAATGATGCCCTTGTTGAGTAAAAATCCAAACAACTATATTATATATGGGGATGGACCAAAACCAATTATACTATAATTTGGCTTGGATGAACATCCATCTACCAGTTATGTTGATGTTCACCAGGGTACCATGGTTTTGACACACAGCTATGTTCATCATCTGTGATATGGATTGTATTAAAATAAAGTACCCAACAGTTGATGAGTATTTGTTTCCCGCTAAATTGCCAGTTTGTGGGTGTTTCGCACTTCCAGACACATCCATATCCGATGTAGTTGGTTATAGTAATTAGGTCATAGTCACAGTCATATTATCATATCATATCCCATCAAATATCCCCATTGATCTCCCATGAAATCACATGGCCATCATGGCCAAGCACTACTTGGTTCCAGTGTGAAGTGAGGCATGCCGGCATGCCCATGTAAAGGCAAACATCCGCATCTGCAACCCGTGAAGTTGGGCACAATATTACTTCGAATGTTGGTAAAACAATAGGATCCACCCAAAAAAATCTATCCATAAATGGCTGGTACTGGTAAACCATCAAGAATATGGCTGGCCTATCATTGCTTTACTCACTTTTTGGGAAAAAAAATAGCTGCAGATCACCCTGCTGGGCGCTGGGAGCCCTCCTGCTGCGATCGTCTTCCCGAAGTCTCAGCTCGGAGGCCAAGAAGTTGCGACCAAACTGGCGCTCCTCTGGGGTTCGTTGAAACTGGGAAGATCGATGAATTCGTTTCTGCAAAAAAAAATGTTTCCCATTGGACCCCCAAAATCATAGGAAAAATGGGGATGTTAAAATGTGGTTAGTAATGATGCCAAGAGTTTTAGGCCGAAGTTTGAGGAACACCGAGGTGGATGAGTTTGATGGATGTTGAGGGAACAACCAGCAACAATAAGAACGAGCAACCCGAGTTGGATGGGTTGATGGCTCGCAACTCGAGTTAATAGAGTTCACCAATCCTGATAAGCTTTGAAAACTGATTGATTCATGATGATTATGGGGCTCCCCAAAAAATAGAAAAGTGTATGTTACAGATGATGCTCCGTGATTTTCAGGTTACGGTAGCATCTTGGGGCTTGCGATCATGGATGATGCTCCTCTGGGTGGCCGGTTTCCGGCAGCAGCACTGACAACGTATGGAAGTACCTCAGTGGTGGTTGACTCATGAACTCAAGATACCTCACCGAATCTTGGGCTGAGCAACGCACCCATTGTACTCCAAATATTCGCGGATCAGCTCATTGATGATGGCATTTTCGCGCGGGATTTGAGGTCTATCCACCTGGTATCGATTTTGATTCGGGTCTGAAAATGGGGATACCCTGGAATGGCAATTTGTGTAGGGAAAACCATCTAAATACCATCAAAAACTGAACCAGATTTTTTGTGGATGCGTGTTTTTTTCTGGAAAAAACCTATACAACATTATACAACCATCAGTGGTGGCAGCCGCTTAATATGGAAAATGAGTCGAGAATGATAAACCATCGAATTTGAGGTACCTTTCAGCACTGGCAGATTCACCCGAAAAAAAAACATGGCTGGCAATGGAGTTTTTTTTGGGGGAGATTTTTCCAGCCATATTTGATTACAAGTGACAATCCAAAACCATGAATAGAATCTAAGTCTATCCCATGATATCGTTTGTTTTAACATGGTTTAACCGATAAAATTACCCATTACAGGACCTTTATTTTTGTGGGTGAAACGGTGAAACCTCCATGTTAGAAATCCTCCACCTTCTCATCATCCAGCGCTGCAAAGATTTCGGCCCGCACTTTGGCCTTGACCTGCAATGGCTTCATGGTGGACGTTGCGGACAAAAAAATGTGGTGGTTTTTCGGAGGGAAATCTTGAGGATGATCCAATGGATATGGATGGTGACTGACTAAGAATAATGCTTACTGATTGATTGATTGATTGATTGATTGATTGATTGATTGATTGATTGATTGATTGGATAATTGATGATTGATTGGATATCCCAAATCTCTCCATGATTCTTGATGGGAAAAGTGGGAGCTGACCAAGAATCATCCAATAAATGGATTGTTTGAAAAAAAAAACAAAAACATTGGTTTTATCCCCAAAATATGAGGACGTCCTGTAAATGTTCCCTTCACCCACTTCTGCGATTCAGGTGTCCACCCCTCTGCAATTCAACAAATGGTGATGCGTCATGCCTATGATTTTCCGGATGATGAGATGAACATACGAAACAACCTGGTGCAAACAGCGCGACTCTTTGGGTTTTGACGCCAATAGCCATGTGAATGGCTCAGTGGAGTTGCAGTTGTGGCCATGAAATGGGCGACCATCAAGCCGCGAAGAATCCGCTGGCACACATCATCAGGTTTTGGATGTTTTTGTGAAAAATACGAGCTCAGTGCAGATATCTTTCAAGCCATCTCAGATTCCTTTCATAGCCTCACTTCAAGTTTACGTGATGGAAAGCACAAATGAGCAGTGTTCAAAACCCCTGTTGGTTGATGATTAGTTCGGGGACTATCCTAACCAAAATATTGGGGAATATCACAGCCCATGAACGGGGCATCCCGTTCTGAACCAGTAGTTTATGGAATGACATGTTGAATAAACTATTGACTGGTGATATTCCCACAACCAGGATTTTCCAAATGATTGGTGATATTCCCAATGATTGGCGATATTCCCATAATAAACATAGTGATTGAATAATCATTGGTCAACCCCATATGATTGGTGATATTCCCAATGATATTCCCACAAGGATAGCGGCCTGACCCAGAACCCCTCGGCTCTGCAGAGTGTCCATCAACGCCTGAAAACCATGCCAAGTGACGCTTGGGTATGACTACGTTGCCTAGTTAAAGGGGGCTTGACCATGTTTAACCATGTTAAACCCACAAAAATAAGGATTCAGAATCAACCATCATGATCCATCATGGGGATATAATAGAGTTCAATAGAGGACATATTACTGATATAACATGATACAACTCTGCAGTTTGGAATTTTCCCTGCGATTTCACAGCGACTCGCCCGATGTTCGCTGCACGCGAACCGCCTCTTTCAGCTCTTCCAATGAGGCCGTCATCGTGCTGATTCCAGGTTCAAGCGTTAAAAAAAGTGTTTGGGGAGATCTGGGTTCCTTTTACCCTCTGGTAAAGTAACTAACAGTTTGCTATTGAAAATGGCCATTCATAGTTGATTTAACCATTCAAAATTGTGATTTTCCATAGTTACGTAAACGTTTACCAGAGGGTAAATGTCACGGTTTCTATTTGACAGTACATACCTTCAAGCCTTTGAACCGGAAGATGTTCAAACTGTATCTCGATAGGCGGTACACTCATGTTTCCAATATCCAATTTCCGCACAAAATTATATAGCATATATAGCTGGATTTCTGCATCTTCCACCTTCAGCAGGTGCTTAAGCCCTCATGCAGCCATAGTTCGGAAATGCTGCCATTTCTGCCGTGACTTGAAGCTGTTGAGCGCAGCTCAGGAAAGGTTTCACCCATCTCAGAATCCAAATTGCTCACCCTGTCAGGTCCAAAATGAATGATGGTGGTCTCATCTTTTTCAGCACTCTGTGGCTGATAGTGCTATTGCTTGGCACCTTTCTTAGATGCCCAGTGAAACTTTGAAAATCTCCATTCAAACTCGTTAAAAGCCATCACTTGGGTGCAACATGGCGCAACTGCAAAACTACAAAGATTGATACTGAATAGGGTAAGCTGGATCTCAGGATATGCGATCATCCACTGGAAATGCCAAGCATCAACCACTATTAACGTGCTCCCAAGCTAGCTCAATCACCGCATAAAACTTTGCGACACAGGCATGGCTGCAGCACACTGCACAGTAAGCAGCCTGCAGCCAGCCCAATCCACCAACTAGCACAAGCAACACATGCCTTCAACTGGGGCGGGCGGGCGCTTTTCTCGAGCTGCCCTACCACCCAACCAAGCTGCCACAGCAGCAGATCTACAGCTGGACTTCGAGCAAGCAAAACCAACAAAAGTAAGATGCTCTACTGTAACAATAATACCATCATGCCAAGCTTACACAGCAAACAGTTGGGTTAGTCAGGCGCACTGGCCGTATCCCAGCCCACCGTGCCCCTGGGCCCACCCTAACTGACCCAGCTTCCGTGGCCCTCTTTGTGGCCACTTAGGATGAGCGCTGGGTCGTCCGCCCACTGACCCTGGCACGGTTCCGTGCCGCGGTGCCCAGACGTTCCCCCATTAACACCAGCCGGAGCGACAGGATCTTGGGTTCATCGCCCTCATCCTGTCCAGGTGGATGTCGAGGGGGATGCCAATGGGGAATCCGAATCCTACATGGAAAGATATGTCAAAAGAATCCAAGAATTGGAATATCATTGAATGTTTAATATCCTGTCTACTTCAGGATGATTGTGTATATATATATATATTATACATGTGTATACATACTGTCTATATATATAGTATATACACAAATGTATGTATCATTATGTATCATACAAATCTTACAAGTATAAGTATATATATTTTTTCAAATCTTTCGAATATGATCAAAATCTTCCAAATTATATACTGTATATAGATATATATATACACCTACTTACAAATATTATTTGAATCCGCCAACCAGCCCTGAAAGTGCCAAGTGCACCTGGCCCACGGCAAAGTAGTCGCCTCCAGCACCCCCGGCCTTGCGTTTCGACATGGCACCTTCCCAACTTTGATAGAAAAGTATATAAAAGGATGAAAACAAAAAAGAAAACGTTAATCTGAATAGGATGAAACCCCAAAACTTGTCTTTTTGTGGGGTGGGGGTGCCAAAAATATTGCCTTCCAGTTATTTAACATAGCTATGGAAAATTCACAATGTTTAAGTTCAGGAAATATAGCAAAATATAGCAAAATCATCTATAAATAGGCCATATTCATTCATTTTCGCTATATGAAAAATCACCAGAGGGATCATCCAATGGATTGTTTCACTCAGAATATCTAAGAATACTGCTTATAGTTAATGATTGAGTGGTTATACCAACGATTTATCCCTGGAGATCACAGCAATTCACAGCCGCTGAGGGCCAATGCTCGTGACGCGGAGCCTGACGCTGGAAGGCCTCGGCCAGGCCAGAATCCGCAACGCGTCGCCTGACGCCTTTTTTTGAACCCCCAGCTGGTTGTTTGTGAAACAATAGTTCTTAATGGCTATGAATGGTTATTGATGATGATTGATGGATATTAATGGTTATTCATAGATACTCATGATTATTAATGGTTCTTAATTAGTGGTTCTTCATGCTTATTCATTGGCTATTCATTGTTAAAAAGAGTGGTGAGTGTATGTTAATGGGGGTTACCAGTCAACTTATGGTGATCAAACATGGCTAACTGGGAAACCCCCGAACTAAATCGAGGTTTCTAGCTGAGAAAATCATCGAACTATAGCTAGGGGATTTTCCAGCAAGCCATGTCTGATTAACGGAGGGTAATTGGGGAGACTTCATTTTGATATTCATTTAAACCGCTTTTTAGGGACCCTGCAATGAATCCTGATTCCATATCCATCCCACCTGGGTTACCACCAGCCAAAAAATCTTGAGCACTTGACCATCTGCGATGTCACCGATGTTTTCATATCGCCGGAAGTGGGCGATCTTGCCGCTCACCACCTGGCACAGCGAGCGCTGGCCGTAGCTCAAAACTCTCTTTTGTATCCAGATTTCATCCCTGTCAAATAGAGTAAAATTCAAATATATCATATATATATAATCATATATACATATTATTATATATATATATAATTACAGTGTATATATATATATGTATATACAGCAAGAACGTCATGTATGCATATACGATCAATATCTATAAGTATGTGTAACTTATAGCCTTATAGCATCTACAGTAATATATTCTATATATGGGTGCTGAGGCCCAAAGGGCCTGGTCCTCTGGTAGACTGAGCTTCCATCGCAAGTCAAAGAGGTACCTGGGCGGCAGAGTGGCTGAGAAACTGTAAAACTCAAACACTGCACAAAAGCTATGATTGGATGTTCTATCAAAATTTGAAGTTTGAATAGTGATTTGAATGATTCTTAAATGAACATGTTGAACATATTTATCTGATTTGAAATGTTGTGGATGACGATTGAATGACTTTTGAATGATGATTTTACTTACGGTATGATTTAAATGGGTAGCTCATACCGTGATGCGTTCGAGGACTTTCACAAGAGTCAGATATGGCAAGATCAGCAGCAACTTTGAAGACGTTTGAAGACTGTTCAAAGTGCGGAGCTGCTGAGAGCTCCATTATATATAGATAGATATCACAGCATTTCCTATTATTTTCAATATTGTAATTGTCTTTAGTCTTTAATATAAAGAATATTCCAGGATTGCATAAGTTCATGCATCTCATGTTCTGTTGAAGTCCAGCAAGCCTCAGAATCATATCAGTCAGCCCACCCTGGTCACCAAATAATGGCCAGGGTGAAAATGCTGAAAGGAATCGAAACAAAGGTGGCAATGGACTTTCTGTAAAAGATCCAGACCTCTCAGGGGTGGCAGATGGCGGCTGTGAATCCAAGGGAAAGTCCTGGATTTGGGCCTGGAAAACTGACCGTTCCCACGATTTCTTGGCACATCAAAGTCCCTGAAAAGAGGAGACCGAGACCGCAAAAAATAGTGCCTGCAGCACGCTGGCAATGAAATAGATCACCCATCCACACATGAAGCAGGTGAAGACAAGTGCTTGATAATCTCGTAGAGTGTCGCAGGCCTGGAGCACTCGGCTGGACACTATATCTAAGTTCCATCCTGAAGATGTGGTACAAAAATGGGAACTGTCCTTTACTTGGGGCTGCAGTTCCAGTTTAAAGATATACATATATATATATATTATATATACAGTTATATACATATATATCATATATATCATATATAACCATGGTTGTAGGCTTATATCCCAACTTATGGGGGTTACTACCATGGTTACAACCATTGATGACCCCAACTGCATCCCCATGGACGAGGGGGCCTTGTGCAGGTCAGTAGCTCCCCTCTTGCCTCGCCTTGGCAAACTTGACCCAAGAAATTCATGGTGAATCATCAGTTTAGCTACTAAAGTGGCATGACGGGGGGCATTGATGTCCATCATTTAGGCATACTCATATTTGATTGAAACGATACTGTATGTTTCTGGAATTCTCTTGAGTTGAAAAATGCAAGTTTCGTTGTTGATATAAATCTTGATACGGCATGGCGGCATGGCTCAAACTTTTCACACCCCTCGCCCGCACAAAGAATATAGAGCATCTACAGTACTCCCAAAAATGACCAGCCTAGAAATGGTATAACTGGCGGGTCAATCCCCTTTTTCAGATACCCAAAGATCGTTGGTGAGATATCCCATCAAAGATCCCTCTGCTAAATCCCCATGATTTTCCCAGATTTAATGGTTACCCTCTGGCAAACTAGCAGTAACATAGCTATGGAAAATAACCACTTGTAAGTTCGGCAAATCATCGAACTAAATGGGCCATCTGCTACACCACAGCAATATGTTAGTTTACTGTTTCCCCAACCCAAATATCAAGTTGGCAATGTGATATTATCTTATATGGGGGACTTCCTGAAATGGGGGTACCATTTCACCCCAAAAATCATGCCAAAAAACGGCCATTTTGGTATTACCCATGGTGACTTGGGGATCCCCCATCGGAAAACCCCATCAGAAACAGCCGCCTGAGCTTCCGGACAGAGCCAGGCTCGGAGCCCAAACCGACAAATAGCTGGAGATCACGATGACGCCCAGCTCAGCCCCTTGGTGGATGCTTTGGAAGCCCCAAGATGTACGAAATCCTCCAGAGGATTGTGAGGAACGATGGAAAAAGTAAGATCTGATTTTTGAAAAAGTATGACGTTCTAAAATTGAGTGGCTGAAAATTCAGGACGGTTCTATCTATCTGTTTTACTCTGTTGTTCCATGCATCAAGCTAATGACACATCGGATTTTGTAGCCCACAAGAATGGAAGGTCATGGTTTTGGGGATCCACTGAATCTCTGGGACCTGGGTGGTTCATTCGTTGTGTCTCTCTGCACCGTCTGGGGCGATCCACCCATTGCAGCGCAAACACAATAGAAGTAGATGAACTCCAGTAGTGTGTTCTCTTGGTCCTGCCAAACTGCATGGAATCTCAGCGTTGATCGGCTTTTGGGTCCCCTCTGGTAATTTAGCATAGCTATGGAAAATAATTAATCCATATATTCTAGATGATGAAAAAGATTGACAATGGTGATTTTTCACAACAACCTGTTAAATTACCGGAGGGTATCTTTTCGTGACCAATTTGAAAACCAGTCTTTGACAAAAAAAACACCCAAAAAACACAACCGCATCGGTCGCTATGTACACTCCTGGATTCCAATGATGTACATCCTTTTCGAGCGCGCCCAACGCCCCAGCGCATTATTACATTGGCTTGTGAAGTGTCAGGATTCCAACCTTGAGCGGGAGCAATCGGCCTAAGGTTGCAGGTAAAGTATGGTAAAGTATTTTCTTCTTGAACATCTCATTTTTACAGGATTCTGCCAGCAAAATCAACTTGAATGCAACGGCCGTAATCAACTATCAACCACAAATACATTGCACCAGATAACATCTTACACAGACCTGAATCTAGTTTGTTCATGGTTTTTCCTAAATACATTTATGATCATTTATGTACATATATATATATCATGACAACCCAATAACACCACCGTTGTTCATGGCACCTTCGGCATGGGCGCAGTGATGAAATTGAAGGCGAAACCCGCCAGCATGGCGGCTTGACCTGATCCCATAGGGGACCAGAAGACCCAACTGGAGCTTCAAATACCTATGGATAGATATATCATGTGTATGTACAAATATATATATATATGTATATATAAACTCGATTTTCTATCGTTATTCTACCTATGGGATCCTATGGGCATATGCCCGTGGGTTATAACCTCGGTTATGGACTACTGCCTCATTACCCTAGAACTGGGTTGAAACCCGCTAAGCCGACGCCTCGGGTGAACCACAACAAGTATCTCTCAAAATCGAATAAGAATCTATCCATTCAATCCATTCACCAACAAATTCCCCGTCAAATCCGTCCATTCTGGCCTGAGATGGTCTGGTAGTTGCCACAATACCAATCCACCTGGCACCGGTGGATACTGGTGACACCATTTCCATTGGGAAAACCCCATGTGATTGCTGGGCTTCAAGGGCATATCAAGATATTCGAACGTTGTAACATGTTTTATATAAGGGACATGTACTCTGTAACTAAGATGTTCAAACGTTCTCCATTTCTTTAGTTGGATTAAGATAGGGTTGTGTTCCGTTGCTCTGCCTCCATCTGTCGTATTTCCACCTGGCCTCGGGTTTCGCAACAGGTGGAACAGTGGAACCGATGGATGGAAGGGTCTCCTGATGAATTTTGGCAGAAATACATGGGATATACAAGAATTGAGTACAATGTACCTATATAATCCTATATAATCCTATACATATATATATATATATATACATATATACATATATACATATACATATGTATATATATATATATATACATATGCAAGATTATGCAAGTATACCTACAATTTAGATAGGCTTTCAGGATGTCATACCTCAAACAATTGATAAAAAGTGACCCTTTCTGAGCGCCGGGCCTTCAGAGACATGGGTCACGATTTTGTTTTTCTTCAGCTGCAGCATGGCAAAAGATCTGGGGTGGGTTAACCAATGGTGGGATAGACTTCTAGACCGGAAATGGTGGCAAGCCACCAAGAAAAATGTGGCTTAACATGCTTGTTTTCTGGTATTGGGATTATAATGGAATCACAAGCTATGATTTTCGGTATTGTGAGGCTATGGTGTGAACAGAAGAAGATTCCATGGGTTTTGACCCATAGCCAGGGATGAAGCTCACACAGCTGCAGGTTGAAGCAGCCAAGAATTGGATCTGCTGATTTTTTCAAGTTGGACCTCTGATCCAATGAGTGCGCACGACTCTGAGAACACGCTGCGGTTTCTGAGGACTGGATCGCGGCAGTGCATTGATGCAGTCGTCTGTGTAGGGTGCTCACAAGGGAAACATTGTTTCCCAATCTGCATCCCAGAAGTTGAGCATTCCACTGATCTAGTTGGGTAAATCTCCAAGGCGAAGAAAAAGTCTTCAGCCTGATCATATTGATGTAGTTAGTTGTCAACCTTCTTGCACTCCGTGTGTGATGTATTTTGCGTAGCATGAATCGAATTCCTCTGTTGTGGAGAAGGAATCTACAGCATTCTGAACTGCTTCATGACACAACTTTGTATCCTGCATATTATGTCACTGTGTGACTATAGTCGCAAATCATCAAGTCCACTTAAATGTCATATTTGCTGCTGGCCGCTACTGGCTGCGTTTTGCAGCGCTCGCGCTCAGCACCTCAACAAGTGGTGAGGTGCTAGTCCCAGTAAAAACATGGGTTTTGGATGGTTTTGGTACCTGAAAACCTTGGGAAGACCCCAAGTTCCAGGGTCGTTTTTCTTATCATCCTTCAATAAAAAGGTCATTTTCGGGTTATGTCGTTACGTATAAGCCATCCATTTTCTGCCACAAGACGTAACCCAAATGGTGGGGAAATCATGCCCATCCAGCCGGTAGAGATTGGATGTTGTCCAGGCCACAGGAACTGCCTTCAGAAAAGTGTTACTTACCACCGTACTGCCTGAGAGGAGCCAAAAAAATCAATAATCAATATAGTATATATATAATATATATCATGTAATATATCAACATCATATGTTACATATGACATATGGTTAAAATTCATGTTACCATGATATCTTATCATTTACCAAGATATGATATAGATCTAACATCCTGAAGTGCTTGTTGATTGGACTTCCAGGCTAGCACAATATGCTCCATATGCTCCCCAGATACTGTTGATCAACCAAAGTCATCCAATCACTTCTCCAAAAAATTGCAGTCGGACACTAGTACACCAGAATTTTGATCAGGAAAAAGCAATAGTTACAGTATAGTTACCCCCAAAAAGATAGAAATAGATTGAAGAGTAAGTATCTCTTCGCTATTTTCATTGCTATATACCCATTCCATCTGTTGCTTGCGATTCTAAGTTTCCGAGCGGGTGGAAAAAGCTTCAGCCCACAGCTGCAACTTGTGGAGTGACCAGAACTAGCTGCCCTGCCTGGCGAATTCTCCCCAAGTCTGGATCAAGATTCAGGGCCCGGAACCTACAGATGGACTTGTCATTTTGTAAACGCACAACCCAGCTATGGCTGGAAAATCCTCATTTTGGCCAGCAAAATCCACGTTTGAGTTGGTGAATTACCAACAATTCTAGCTGGTGAAATGTGAAATCCCCATTTCACATCCTATGCAAGTCCACTTCTTGTGGGTATTTCCCCATTAAAATACGTTACCCTCTGGTAAACTAACATAGCTATTGAAAATCACCATAGAAATGTCGTGGATTTTCCCATTAATAGCATGCTGGATCTTTCCATAGTTATTAAAATGGCTTACCTAAATCAACCATGGCAGGACTAGCCACACCACAGCTGGGCCTTGTTTTCCTCCCAAAATTCATGCGCATAGTCCCCATCCGCATCCACCAGCATGGGCGTGCCGGCTCCAAACCTTGGCGCCGGCAGATGGATTTAGATGGTCATTTGGGGATAACGTGCCGATTCTATCCTCTGAAAATTCGAGACATATATATATATATTATATATATATATATATATATTATATGTGTATAATATATATATATATAATTATAATAATAATGATAATAATAAGAAGAAGAAGAAGAAAAATAATAATAATAATAACATATAATAACAATAATATATATATATATCCCCAAATTGATCCGATCTGCGGTTTTTGCTGGGCGATTTTGACCGGTGTCAGCCGCCCAGGCCACCTGGGCTCCCCTGCAAAAGCTGGTTGCCCGAACCATCGGGTGTCTCAACAAACACCTGGCGCAGAACATGAAATGCCAGTAGTTGGACGATGAGTGAGAAATCAGCAAGTCAACCATACATACCCAAAATATCCAAGACTACAGCGTACTTGAAATGCAAAAGAGCTAAGAATTGGAAATTAGGAATGGGCCGGAAACTAAGGTGTTTTTCCATGTTTTTCCCAACTATCGGAAAAAGGGATGCAACAATCAAAAAATCTTCACTTCTTCAGGTCTTTACCAATCATTCTACTGACCAATGTCATCTCTCTTTGGGGATTGCGTCTAAGGCGTATTTTAACAATGTTAAACCCGTATTGATAGTGGTCACCCCGCCCCAATAATAGGCTTATCGAAATTAGGTACCCGTAAGATTGGATGGAATTAATACATGTTAAGACTAGAGATGACCCGAAAATCATTCTAGATTAATTGGATCATTGGATGCTATTGAAAAGACACAAGATCAATATGGAAACAAGAAACTGGATGGTGGAATTCCCAAGCTGTAACATCTGTAACCCTCCAAACCACAGCAGGGATACTGAGAATTGCCTTGGTCCCCCTACCGGCTCGGCGGCTGGAGGTTGAATGATCGTGTGCCGTGGCAGGCCCAATAGCCTACCCGGCACGCAATCGGAAGATGTCGCAACAGATGGGTTCAACCAGCTAAAAATTGGGGTTCAATTCTGACCAAGAAAGTATGGAATTGGGATTTAAGTGGGTTTAAACAATCAAAATTGGGAATGCTAAGCAACAAGAAAACAGTTTGATGATTGTAACTAAAAGACTACATAAGTTTGTCCCTAGATGGGAGATACCCAGTTTTATGGCCACTGAAAAGTGGAGGAAGTGATGAGAAACTATGGGATGAAATGGGATTCCAAATGTTGAAACGACCGCAGATAATGATCCTTGAAGAAATAGGAAGGGATATATTACAAGGAAAAGAATACATATACATAGATATGTATATATATATATATATGTATAAATATATATATATATGTATACATATATATGTATGTATGTATTTATGTATGTATGTATGTATGCATGTATGTATGTATGTATGTATTTATGTATGTATATGTATACATATATATATATATATATGTGTATGTATGTATGTATGTATGTATGTATGTATGTATGTATGTATGCATTTGTATTTGCATTTCTATTTGCATTTGTATTTGTATTTGTGTTTGTGTTTGTGTTTGCATTTGTATTTGCATTTGTATTTGTATTTGTATTTGTGTTTGTATATATAGGCATGTATGTATATATGTATGTATGTATGTCTGTATGTATGCATGTCTGTATGTATGCATGTCTGTATGTATGTGTGTTTGTATCTATGTATGCCTCTATGTATCTATTTATCTATATCTATGTATGTATATCTATCTATGTATATCTATCTATGTATGAAACTTGAAGCACAGCAACTGAGCACAATGCGCATCTTTTCCTAGCTGAAACTTGGGAAAATCGACCTATCTGGAACTGCTGTTGCTTGTCGTCGAAGTGGTGGTCCCGTTGATGTTGTCCTTGCGATGGATATATCGGCACAATAGGTCGACCCAATCACCAGGTTGCCGCCACAGCCACTTCTCGCCGTAAAGATCAGCAATGCATCCCCTGCTGGCTTTGTCAATGGGATTGTCTTGGGTGTGGACATATTCAACCCACAAGTGTAAGCGTCGGCACCGTACCTCTTTCCAGGTAGCATGCATGAGCTCATTCAGCTCGGCATTGATACTGCTACCTTTGATCAAGGAATCTTTCGCTGCAGTGTTGTCTATGAAGTGAATCCAAAGTTTGTGTCGAAAGTCTTCCCAGGTAGCCAAAGCAAGCAGAGGTCCCACAGCCTCAATTTGAGCAATGACGGCGGAGGAGTTTGCAGACCACTTTGCCAGCAGAGATGTGGGGACTGTGCAAGTTGTAAATTGCGGCACTGAGCCATCGCGGTCTACGTTCCACTTTCCCACTGCCACATGCCCGGTGCCTTCGCCATCGGAGACGGTGACTACGAGCTCAAGCGTGTGGATGGAGCATGGAACTCGTCGTCTGTTCTCATGAACAAGGGCCCACTCCAGCCAATCCAGCATGGCACGTAGAGCAGAATTCAAGGCATGGAAAGCGACTTTCTGCCGTGCACGTAGCGGGGCTAGCACGGCAGCCCCTGCTCGGCCCCACAGCGTGGAGCGCACCCAAGTGAAAGCGCCGTGCAAAGAGGAAGCATCAGCCGATGTCATGCGGCCTGTGTCCCTGTGATTTTGCAAAGCATCCAGAAGTTTCTTGATTTTAGTTTCTGCTAGCCAGACATAGTGGCAACTCCTTCCCAAGCTGTGTTCGACTCCCAGCAGCCGAAGTTGAGAGCTTGCAGGGGGGCTCTTCTTGGCATCCCACCTCCACCCAATCAAATCCATCAGTTCGCAAACCAAATTGTGAGCCTGGGTTGCCGCCGCTGCTGGCTCGAAGCCCCACATGTCATCGCTGTAGTGGCAGAGAAGGATGGCCAGCTTCCGCCTTACCACATGGCAAATGAAATGTGGATGCTGAACAAAGTTGAGCTGCGCTGCTTTACTGCCAAAAGCCCCACCAAGTGGCCGCACCCATTGCACCCGTTGCAAGTGCGGGTTCCACACGACCTCGTAATGCAGATGGGCATGGCCCGGCCACAAGGGGTCTTGGCGGAATGCCATTTCCCAATCGATGCGGTAGCCATAGATGTCCGCAGTGGGAAACACTTCGCTGAATATTCGCAGGACCGC